GGGACGCTTGAAAAAATGCTGATTTTTTGTGTCGCAACTATATTTTGGATGGCCTACAGAATTCTCTGTATCACGTATATGTGGTAAAGAAGTCTGCTAAGGAGCTCTGGGAGTCCTTAGAAAAGAAATACAAGACCGAGGATGCCAGATCTAAGAAATTCTTAGCCAGTCGGTGTATGGACTTCGAAATGGTTGATTCACGTTCAGTGGTGAGCCAAGTGCAGAAGTATCGAGTGCTTTTGTAAGAAATGCATGCTGAGGGTCTGACCATGTCAGAATCTCTACAGGTGACTATTGCTATTCACAAGCTACCTCCTTAGTGGAAGACTTTCAAAAGCTATTTGCAGCATAAGAGGAAAGAGATGTCTTTCGAAAATTTAATTATCAAGCTGCGCATTGAGGAGAATAACAAATGGGTTAAACGTAAGTCAAAGAATTCTCACTTTGAGAAGGCTAATGTATTGGAGTATGGCCAAAGTTCTGGTACTAAGAAAGTTCACTTCTTTAAAGCCAAACAGGGTAACGAAAATCGAAAAGATAAAAAACAGGCTACGAAAGGGTCTCAGTTGAAGCCTGCAGGTGCGGTAGGAAAGAAACCTAAGTTCCAGTTCAATGAAAAGTGCTTCAATTGTGATAAAGTCGGGCATCAATCTGCAGATTGCCGTCAGCCTCGGAGGGATAATAAGCAGCGTCCTCAGGCTAATATGGTTGGAAATGAGAGAGATCATCTCTCAGATGAAATGTCTGAGCTAAACCTCACGACGATGATTAGTGAGGTTAACTTGGTGGGGTTTAATCCAAAAGAGTGGTGGCTGGACACTGGGGCCACTTGCCATGTCTGCTCCAACAAGAGCATGTTCACTACTTTTGCACCAGTTACAAATGGTGAAAAGTTGTTCATGGAAAACTCTGCAACTTCTGAAGTGCTTGGTAAAGACAAGGTGATCCTGAAGATGACATCTGGCAAAGAGCTTACTCTGACTAATGTACTGTACATGCCAGAGATTCGCAACAATCTGGTCTTTGGATCTCTTCTGAGCAAGAATGGGTTCCGCATGGTCTTTGAGGTGGATAAGCTGGTGATTACCAAAATAGGAGTTTATGTTGGGAAAGGCTATATGACTGATGGCCTGTTTACATTGAATGTAATTGCTGTAACTCCAACTATTATGAGTAATGAGAAAACTCCTTTTGTTTACTTGCTTGAGTCTCCTAATCTGTGGCATGATAGATTAGGTCACGTAAATTACAATGCTTTACGTAGACTAAGCAAACTAAATTACTTGCCTAGGTTTCAAATTGATTCAAATCATAAATGTGAAACATGCGTTGAATCTAAGCTTACTAGGTCTTCATTTCATAGTATTGAAAGAAGTATCGAGCCATTGGGACTAGTCCACAATGATGTATGTGACTTGAAATCTATCAAAAACGAGGCGGTAATAAGTATTTTATTACTTTTGTCGACGATAGCACGAGATATTGTTATGTGTACTTGCTTCAAAGCAAAGACGAAGCTATCGATAAATTCATTCTTTATAAGAATGAAGTTGAAAATCAACTTAGTAAGAAAATAAAGGTGCTACAGAGTGATCGTGGTGGTGAATATGAATCACCGTTTGGTGAATTTTGTGCTAAACATGGAATAATTCACCAAACTACTGCACCTTATTCACCTCAGCAGAACGGAATTGCTGAGTGTAAAAATAGAACTTTAAAGGAAATGATGAATGCTATGTTGATTAGTTTTGGATTACCACAGAACATGTGGGGAGAAGCTATTCTTTCCACAAATTACATCTTGAATAAAGTGTTAAGAAAGAATATGGATAAGACTCTGTATGAACTTTGGACAAATCGGACACCTTCATATAAATACTTACGAATGTGGGGGTGTCTTGCTAAAGTTGTGGTGCCTCCTCTTAAGAAGGTCAAGATTGGACCTAAGACAGTTGAGTGTGTGTTCATTGGTTATGCACAAAATAGTAGTGCATATAGGTTCTTTGTGCATTATTCGAATGTACCTGATATTCATCCGAACACGATTATGGAGTCTAGGAATGCACAATTCTTTGAGCATATATTTCCTTGTAAGTCTCCTAAACAGTTAACTCTTATTAAACGGACAATGGAATCTTCTGCTTCTAGCAGCAGTAAAGATCTAGTTGAAGAAGGTGAGGATGAGCTTAGACGGAGCAAAAGGACCAAAACTTTTAAGACGTTTGGCCCTGATTTTCTCACATATTTGATGGAGAATGATCCTCAAAGCTATAAAGAAGCTATATCTTCTTCAGATGGTCATTTGTGGAAAGAAGCCATCAAAAGTGAAATCGATTCCATTTTACAGAATCATACCTGGGAGTTAGTAGATCTTCCACCGGGCTGTAAGCCTTTGGGCTACAAGTGGATCTTCAAGAAGAAGATGAAAGCGGACGACTCCATTGATAAATATAAAGCTCGGCTAGTAATCAAAAGTTATAAGCAAAAGGATGGCTTAGATTACTTTGATACTTATTCTCCTGTGTCGAGAATAACTTCTATCTGGATGATAATTGCTATTGCAGCCTTGCGAAATCTGGAAATACATCAGATGGATATAAAAACAGCTTTCCTAAATGGAGATTTGAATGAAGAAGTCTACATGAAGCAACCAGATGTGTTTACAGCTCTAGGTCAAGAAAGGAAAATTTGTAGACTGGTTAAATCGCTGTATGGTTTGAAGCAAGCACCAAAGCAATGGCATGAGAAGTTTGATAATGCTATGCTTTCTAGTGGTTTTAGAATCAACGAATGCGACAAGTGTGTCTATGTCAAGGACACTAATGATGGATATGTCATACTATGTCCATACGTCGACGACATGCTCATTATCGGTAACTCTGACAAGATCATCAAAGCCACTAAGAATATGTTAAACTCGAAGTTTGACATGAAAGATATGGGTCTCGCGGATGTCATTTTGGGAGTAAAAATTACTCGAACACCAAATGGACATGTGTTATCTCAATCTCATTACATTGATAAAATACTAGACAAGTTCAACAAGTTAGATACCGTTGTGGCCAGGACTCTAGTGGATTTGAGTCTCCACTTATCCAAGAACACTGGTGATGGTGTATTACAGTTAGAATATTCTCAGATAATTTGGAGTTTAATGTATTTAATGACTTGTACGAGACCGGATATAGCATACTCAGTTAGCAGATTGAGTCGTTATACGAGTAACCCAGGTGCTGTCCACTGGAAAGCCATTTTTAGGGTGTTACATTATTTAAGGCACACTCGTGATTTTGGACTGCACTATTCTAGATACCCTGCAGTAATCGAAGGGTATGTTGATGCAAATTGGATATCAGATATGTCAGATACCAAGTCTACTAGTGGACATGTCTTCACTCTTGGTGGTGTCTCTTGGAAATCGTCCAAACAAACTTGCATCGCGAGATCTACAATAGAATCAGAGTTCACCGCTTTGGACAAAGCAACTGAAGAAGCAGAGAGGCTTTGCCAGTTTGTTGAGGATATTCCAAGATGGTCAAAGCCTGTGTTTGCAATTTGTGTTTATTGCGATAATCAATCAACAATTGGCAGGGCACAGAGCAATATGTATAATGGTAAGTCTTGCCATATTCGAAGACGACATAATATCATTCGACAACTACTCTCACAAGGTATTATCACTTTGGACCACGTGAAGTCAAAGGATAATATTGCGGATCCGTTAATCAAAGGGCTAACTCGAGAGCTAGTTGTAAAAGCATCGAGGGGAATGGGCTTGTAGCCTATGACGTTGAAAGGTATCATGGTGGAAACCCAACCTAGCTAAATGGAGATCCCAGGATCTAGGTTCAAAGGGACAACTAAAACATGTATATCTGTGTAAATCACTGAGAATGTTCTCCTTCTGCTCATTTCTATGGTGCTCACAGTGATTGGAAGATGCAGGTTAAGCTATGCTTTTAATGACCATTAAACGTTGTTGTGAACAACTGAATTAAGAGGTCACCTATGTGAGTGTGAAGTGGGGCCGCTTCTATAAGGATTGACAAGGTTACATCCTTGAAAAAACACTTGCAGAACTAGGCGACGTGTTCATGGCCAAAACGAACACAACAGTAAGAACTATGCTGTGACTAAAATGGTTCTGTGTGAGATCTATTGTCTTGGTTTACACAAATGGCGAAACAGTTCAAGGCATCAGGTTCATTAGTCTGCTAGTAATTCCCGATAGGTCTCACAAGGGAAGGTTCAAAGCTAAGTGCTACCTATCCTATGCAGGATTGATTCGTTTTACTCTATCTTTCCTCTTGAGTCTTAGTTTCCATTTTTCATTCATGTAGGGGATTGTTAGAATTGAATAAAAAATATTGAATAGAAGTAATGAAAAATATTAAATAGAAGTCTCTTCATATATTGTAACTCAATATTGAATAAAAGTCTCTTCATATGTTGTAACTCAAGTAACTCAAGTCCTTTCATATTTTTAACTCCTTTATTAATGAATGGTTTAACTCCTTGATTAATGAGCTAACTTTTCCTCCATTGGTATAAATAGGAGTCTTTCTAGGTAGGAAAATCACAAGTGAAATGCAAGCTTTTTTCTCTAAGTAATAATCTTCTTTTTCTCACTTTCAAGTTCTTCCTTGTGCTCCTAATTTTTTTGTGAGATAGAGTATATCACAACTAGTTCGTAGGCGGTTAACGTAGTGCAGCGTGAACCGACAACCGATTGTATCCTAAGAATTGAACACCGATCAAAACCTCTTGCACTTCGGTGAGGTGGCGAATTCGATTTAAGAAAACTGTGAATAAACAGGTTTTCGATTTGATTTGATTCTCTAATATTTACCTACACCAATTTCATTCAAGAATCCAAACTTTGTTTTAGGGTTATTTTGATTTTCGATTTCTTAAACCCTGATGACTTCTGAAAAATTGGGCGTGGTGCCACCACAACATTAACACAACAGGCTCAGCCCACACCCACACCCACACCCACACCCACACCCTTACCCGCGGCTCATTTATCAAGAAGTTGCCTGTGGCCTACAAGCACCCCTGACCCCACCGCCGTTCCATCGCTGCAAGTGACCCGGACCCCAAATCCACCACCCGCAAGCTCACTACCAGCTTCCTCAACCACCACCGCTTCTTCCAGCTCCACCATCAGTCGCCTCCGACGAAGACCGCTGAGTTCTGTCACCAGTGGGCCCATAGCCGCAGTTCCTCCACCCCCAGCGGCGGTGAATCATCAGAAGACAATGATGTGAAAGATGACGATTATAACGGGCAGAATATCGTCACTGTGGCCAAAATCAACCATACAGATGCAAATGAAAAATTTAGTACTAGTAATAATCAGAAAATGAAACTTTCTGTATTGAGGAAATGAAACCATTAAAATTTTCAGATATTGAATCTATTTCTTTGATATCTTTAGACTCATGTGACTTATTTCTGATCTTTCTTTCTTTTTCTTTTTGTTTTTCGATTACAGGGATCGAAGAAGTTAATTCGTTGCGAATTGCAAATGGGAGCAGTAATGACAATAACAATAGTAATGAAGCTAGGAATATAGGAGAAGAAGTCTATTATGCACAGAACTTGCACGGGGCTATGGGACTGAGCTCGAAATCTGGGCAAAAGGATATCATGGAGGTGGAGAATGGGTCTTGGAATGGTAGGAAAAAGGAGAGCTGTTATGCAAGTGAATCCCAGGAGCCCTTGAGGACCATCCTTTCAGTTTCAGATCCTCTCACGTGAGTGTCTTCTGATTTAAAAATTTTAATTTATCTTTTGTCATGGGTGTTATACTCCATTTCTGCTAATTTTACTGAATCTGATGACCCTTTAATTTAAAAACGTAGCTGGACAATGCATAGGTTTATATGAATATGGTTGAATGAAAATGTTGAGTTTGTTTGTTTCTTTTTGTATTTTAACCCGTGTTCTAAAAGGCGTAATGCGTGGAGGTCAAGCTATTGGCTAGGGGAGCTTAGAGGAGGCATAGGCGTAAAAATGCGTTTTCTTTTTTAATATTATTTTAATTTTTTATCAATCAATAAATTGTTTAATAATTAAAAATAATACCCGTCAAACATCTAAAACAAATTTAGGAAATTTATACATTTTCCCTAAATTTTCAACAAAAATGTAGTTCCAAAGGTAAATATTAAATCGTAAATAAATAGGAATTTTTGGGATATTTCCTTTATTCAAGGCTTTAAGCGACTATTTTGAATTTAGAATAGACGAAGTGAAAAAAAATCAACATTTGAGTTTTAACATTAAAAAAGAAAAAAAAAGTATAATTATGCATGCTTAAGTATGCATAACCGCGCCTAAGCGCACATTAGCAGTCAACGGCAATAAATAAGGCGCCAAGCCACTTGGTTTGGCGTTTTCGCTGAGCATCGTGCATTGATGATGTCTAGGCGCCACCAATGCGAGCCTTTTAGAACAGTGATTTTAACCAGTTATGTTGGTTAAAAATATATATTGAGATTATCTATAGTTCAACTTGAGTGCGGAACTGCATCAATTTGTGTCCATAAATCAGCACTGATTATGGTTGTCTTTTCCTATGTAGGATTTATTATTATTATTATTATTTTTTATTTTTGGGGTCTTCTAATTCACATTTTTATTTTTCTGATTTGTTTAGCTTTCATTCTAAGTTCACTGACCTAAGTTATTCAGCTAACTTATGTGTGCACGTTCTGTTTACCTTGAAGACATGTTACTCCATCATCTAAAATTTTGATTAATTATATTTTTAGTTACAACTTATAGCAAAACCCCATATGGTCACTGTAGTTCAGTTTGTTTCCAAATGATCACTTAACTTCCACTTTGTTGCAACTTGCAACAGTAGTCAGTATTTTCACTTCTGTTAACAAAACTACAGAAAAATTTTATGTGACATTTAAATGTGTTGGAACGATGACGTGACACATTTTTTATTGGACAATGATTTACACCCAACAAGCCATAATCGTGGACCCAAAAACCAATCCCTCGCTCTCCCTTAGAACTTTTCTTCCCCTCCCCTGTTCCTTCCTTTTGGGCTGCTGCAGCCTTCCACTGCCATTGGCTACTGTCATCAATCTTCTTACCTGTCTCCAGTAAGTCCCTCTTGCTTTCCACCACCGATCACTCTTTTCATTTCTTCTGTTTTCATCTCCTTTCCAGTGCTTTTGGTGAGTTTTGGCCTTTGCTCTTGAACCCTGAGTTTGTAGGGCTGTTGGCTTGGTGGTTCTGGGGTTGCCATAAGTGTTGTGTCCCCTTCCTTATTCCCTCAGTTCTTATATATCTATCTCACTCTAATTCTATTCCAATTAAAATTTTAAAAAATAATATATTCAACCACATTAAATTCCAACATTATCCTTATGAAATTCATTCATTTAAGTACTATATACCCACACCACTTTAGTATATCTATTCCACTCTAAATCTATTCCCATTACAATTCTAAAATATTTAAAAAGTACTATATTCATCCCCATTATAGTCCAACAATACTCTTCGAAAATTTATTCGTTTAAACACTATATATGACATTATCCAACCTCGGAAAAAAATCAGGGTTAATATACTATGCTATTTCTCTCTTATGCTAACAGCAGATAGCATAGGATTTAATGAATTTTTATAATTATAAAAAAATTTCTGTACTGAAACAACATTGTAGATTTAATTCAACGTGTTCCGCTGATAATGTTAAATAAATTTCTGCACTGTATAATTTTTGAGAATGATCTTCACAATTATGTTCTATATATGTATATTTTTACACTTTCTGCATCTTTTAGGGAAAAGGATGATCCACCAAGGCCCCAGTTATTAAGGAGGAAGACTTGGGCAGACACTCCATGCCTGATGCCTTCAATACGAGTGCAATGGCACCAAAGTCTTTGGCCCCAGCTCCTTGAGACTTCCCAAAGCATGGAATCCGACAACGTCATCCACTTGCTTCTTTTTTGTAGCCATAATGTGGTTGAGCTCCGTTTTCCTTGTTCCATCTTTTTTTGTCGCCAGTATCAATAGCACTGTCATAACTGCTGGATACATCTCCCTTTGAGGATTACAAAACAGTTTGACTGAACAATCTTTCCAAAGTTCTGATGATGGATGGACAGATTCTTCACCTCTGGACCAGATGGTATCTGCAAGGTTACCTTTAGAGCATGTATTTCAACGATCAACTTCCTTGAGCTTGCTCTTTCCATTTCTCTCATGTTTCAGTTCCACATTAGTTTCACTAGTACACCCCCACCCCCCGGTGAGTAGATGTTAAAAATTAACATCTGTCCCAGATCTTGCATTATCCTTACCTCTGTCAGGAGCCTCTGCTGAATCCAACCTTTACTTCCCGAGTCATGAGATCCCAAAAAGGTCATCATTCTGATAAGAACAAACAGGACCATTGCTTGGACTGTACTTCGAAGAATACAAACCATGCACTGTATCATCTGAATTCTTACCAAACACGAAGTAATTATTTATGGCGACCAACTCATTAACCTTTCCTTGCTTCTCCATACTACTAAATTTTTTCCACTTGCTTTCAGGCCCCTTACTCCCAGTTCAACACTTTTATCTCTCTCTCAAGAAAAATTCTTGGTGTACATTATGGACACCATAATATTGTCCATAATGCTCTAATAGGGGGTGTCATGTGTGCATTATGGACACCATAATGGTGTCCATAATGTACACCAAGCACATCTCCTCTCTCAATTAGCTCCTTGAGAAATTCCCCGCTACTCTGAGAACTAGTTTTTTTCCTTAAGACCTTCCCTGATATTTCGGGAATTTATAATCTTCCTATCTTCTTCAACTTTACTGCCTACTCCTTATCTTCAATTATAAGCTTCTGAGGAACTTCATTTAGATCAGGCTGTGTAACACAGCTCACCATGCAAAGCAGCCTGAGCTCGTAAATTTGTTCCTTCTCAAAAATTCCAATGTAACATCCACGGAACTCCAAAAGTCTTCCTTATATATTATATGTCTTTATGTATTTGCTCTAATGGTTTCTCTTCCATTATTCGGTTTCGCTTTAGTTGAAGAAGATATTTTTTGAATATTAGGGTTTTAGTTGAATGTGAAGTCTAAAAGAATATAAAAGGTACAAAAGCATTTAATGAGGATAAATATTGGTGAATTAATTTAGAGTTATATATTTTATTTTATTTTATACATGTCTATTTAAGTACATTTACATAAAGTTAAGAATGTAATATAGAATTTTATTGAAAAGTGGATGAATTTGGATGAAAATAAAGATTACCTTTTAATTATTATAAGATTATTAAATAAATTAAATACCGCATACCAAACAATTAAAATCATAAATCTTTTAATTACTTAATTATATCTGCAATTAGATCATTTTCATATTTTCAAATACTAGACATTAAAAATTGAAAGCAGAAGACCCTTTCATGTTAGGACGTGAAATACTGTGTTACTCTTAATTGGGATTAATGCTGTATATTAATTGATGATATCTGCTTAAAATCAAAATTATTAAATTTCTGATACTTTAGGATAAGTCTACTTTAGTGACATTGCAATCACATATATTTTATTTCCTCGCTCAGTTTATTATTTTCTTTTTAGTTTCAACTTTTACCGGGACTTGCGTGATTATTTTTCTGTACTGTAATTATACTTCCTTTAATAAATTAATCCATTACTATTAACTTTCCAAGAATGAGTTGTTTGGTTTTGTGTTGTCTGTTGACTCCAGAAAATGTTGCCAACAGATTCGGACCCATTTACATATACATTTACAAATATCGATTGGTAATTATTGTACAATCGGTTAACGAACATCCCGCCGGATTCCGAACGTTCTCGTCTCGCACCGTTCAGATACTCCCACACCCTTGATCTGTCCGTTTTAGACCTTTCACGTGTCACATCGTGTTGGACTTTCACTTACGTGTGTGCGGGTGGGTCCGGCATTTGTTGGCAACATTTTCTGGGGTCAATTGTGTCCTTAATTGGTATAGTCGTATGCAATAACAAGCACTTTCTTTGGTTGAAGTTAATTGATTAATAGTATGATTTACATTACTCTGCATTTCCAGAAAGCTTGCTATACATGTTCACAATCTGTATTGGAGGACTTGATTGCTCCAAATCTGTGTAAGTTGAACTGTCCCGTCTTACTGAAGTAATATATTTGTTAACTGGATCTCCAATGTATTTGAAAACCTGCCACGTGGCTTTGATTGCCAAATGTTGTAGATTTGTGCATAAATGGGAAATGCTATTTATTACATTCATTTTTTTTCAGGTACCTGTTATCATTCCAGCCAGCATTTAACTCTTTAAACCGGTTTTTATGGTTGATATTTGATTTTTATTCTACTGGAAGCAAAAAAATTTTGCACAATATAATTGGTGAAACATCATATGGTAAGAGCCCCTTTTTAAAAAATGCATTTTGAAATAATAATTTGATGGAGATCATGTAGTTAAAAAATAAGGAAAAATTTTGAGTTTACGCGTAATATTATTTTATTGAAGAACGTGTAGTTGAAAATAAGAGAGAAAAATATATTTTCGAAATAATGGAGACTGGACAAGGGCTAAAGATTTCTTTATTCCAGTTTTATGAATTTAAACAAAGTACATTTTAATTCAAAGTACTAAGAACTTTATTGGCTAGACATCACAAAACCTCCTATATATTGTCCTTGCTGTCGAAAACCCCCTACCTTTTGAAAGTAGCATAAAACGTCCTTGTTTCAAACCATTCTTGTGGAATACGCCCTGCTGTCACATTCCTTCCATTCAACCATTAAATCCCAATAAATAGGGGGAAAATGGGAAAAAAAGAAAGGGCAAAACCCCTTCATCTATTGAATTTAGCAAAAGAGGTCTCTGCTGTCTATTTTCTCAATGAAAAATTGAAACTAACAAATATGCCTTCCTATTTAAGAAAAACAAAAATAAAAAAATAATTTCAAATAAATGCAAATAAGTCCTAAATAAGTAATTAGAAAATTAAAATAAAAAAATCAAAATGGTGCCCTAAAATATGTCCTTGCGGGACTATTGCTAAACTCGAACAGGAAATTGAATAATTGTAGTAAAACGGCATGAAATGGAGGAACTAAAAATCACTCACAAATACTGAGTTATTTTCTGTTTTTTATTGGGGAAGAAGATGAAGTATGAGATGGGGTCGGGATCTTTTAATTTTATTTTATTTTTATTTGGAGATTTTTTTATTATAATTTTTTAATTATTAATTTGGGATTTGTTTGCATTTATTTGAAAAAATTTGGGACTATAGTTAGCCAGGGCAAACAGGTAGGGGGTTTTGTGCTGTTTAGCCAACCCTTTTTCTCAAACCTTTTAAAATTTGTGTTTTATTGCAAGCCAATGATTTTGCATATGTATCGATAACAAAAAGTTTGACAATTTGCATTTTGTTAATTAATTCTTTTTTATTTATTTTTGAAGCCCTACGCCTTGCTGTCCAGCATTCCGACGGGAACAACAGTGGCAAGTTAACCGCATATCCAAAAAAAAAAAAAAAAAAAAGAAAAAAAGATATGATCCAGTATGTTGTCATGACTTGGAGCCTGCAGGAGAACTCCATAAATTTAGTTGCATATAATGGGAAATTATTCATATTGAAGAGAAAATGTCTCGTTAGCTGGTCCTACAGTATTTGTTTGTTAGTACTTACAGCTTCTCTTACAGTGTGTTGGTTCTAACTTAAGTTTTACACATCCTTTTGTAGAAGGACAAGGGGACTTGTGGCGATTCAGTGCTGACAGAACACTCTAGGGTAAGAGGAGTTCAGTTTCCATTTGCTGTTACAGATAGAGTTATTATAAAGGTTTTGCTAAGAAATCCAAATTTCATGTACATCACTTGTTTAACAATTTTCAATTTCTAATTAGGAAAAACTGAATCAGGGTAACAAGAGAACACCTCAGCGTTTCGTTGGACGTGAGGCTATTGTTACCACGAGCAGTGCTTCATTCACAGAATGAAGGTTCACGGAAGTTTTACACACAAGACACAAATGTGTGGGGCTTGCAATTTATTGTCAATTTTTTATACACGCGTGGGACCCAATCTCCTCTCTCTTCTGGCTTCATTCTGTGATCAATTAATCTGTACAATCGGATTATTTGTTGTTACCACACAGTGCTTGAATGGATGGTAATCCACTTTCTAAATACTGTCCCCCATTTTTCTCGGCTTTTTGCCGTCTGTCTAGAACAATTTTACTTATAATCTATAGTAATAGCACATGGTTGTGAACTTTATCTAATGAAGTGCTCTAGGAGGACGAGAAGAGATAAACAGTGAGCAAGAAACAGATAAAGTTGCCCCTCAGGGCATAGCTTAGTGGTGCAAAGGACAGGAGTGAAGTTATCTCACGCCTTGCTGGCAGTCGCAGTGTGGGGGTTCGATTTCTGAAATATGGAATTGGACTCCCTGTGGGCGCAGTGTACAGACAGCTCTTATTCCCTGGTCTGTTGGGACACATCCCGCGATTTACCTCCCTCACAAAGCTCTAGGAGCGAGACGGGATGGTGGGGGTTCTCAAAGTTGGGGTTCAACCTTTTTTTAAGAAACAGATAAAGTAACCAGGACACCGTTATGTTTTATTTGATTCTTCTTTCTCCAGTTCTGTTTTCTTGATTTTTTGAACATTTATATTACTTGTTCTGCTTTGCCAATTCAATTTGACAGGTATGTGGTAAAGACATTGGACAATGCAGAGAGCGTGAAGTTGCAGTATCGCTCGCTAGCCAAGGTGGCAGGCTCTTCATCTTCCAACCCGTGCCATTAAGATGTCGCCCAACTGGTTGTAGAATTGTATTTAGATAGCAATCACAGTTGCTTAGACATATAGTGTTCCAAATAGACCCATCTAGTATACTTAATTTAGGCCTCAATTTGTTATCCTTTAACAAATTAAATTATTTGCTATAGTAATATTTTTCGTCACACATTCACACAATAAAATATTCTTCACATAAACCAATAAGATTTCTTTAAATTTTAACCTCACATTTTTCAAAAAATATTATTCAAACCTCTATTTTCTCCCATAATGAGAGACAAACAGGCTCTAGCCTAACTCTAGAATAAACAGGTTCTTGGTTTTTCCTATTCTCTACCCTTACACATGAATGTCGTTTCAGTTGTGCATATAATTTCTATGTTTTCCATTTTGTGTATGTAATTTGTTTGGTAAAAGACCGAGTGACAAACTCTTATGTTCCTTTCATTAGTGTATTTTTTAACAAATTCTTGGATAACAAAAGTTTTCTTATTGATGTTAGTGACGATATTGATTGTAACCTTGATACTAAGCTAGACTAGAGCTGGAGCTAGAAGTGCTAATTATGATGAATGCATTACTCATGGATATGATGTCAAAAATAGATCGATTTTATCGTCCTTCAATTAGAATTAGCAAAAGCAACATCTCCTTGCATATAATGAATTCCAAACATTAATGATTTGGATGTGAATGAGTTGAATTACTTATCTCTCAATCTATTATTGAACAATCTATTAGAACACGTGTCGCTAGAAATATTCTTGTTAGTGCTTCAATTCATAATCCCCATTTCTAAATATTTGTCGACTATAATTTCACTTTGGTACATATTTAGTATGCAGTATTTAAAACAATTTCACTATTATAAGATTTTACTATTCTAAGTTGTTAAGACACTCGATTGCGAAAAATACCTTCTTTTGACAAACCAAAATTCATTTTATTGTCAGATTGAATTATATGCTCAGACAAATATCTACACCAATGGACAAAAAGTCATGAAAACATCGATATGAAAAATCAAATCCAGTTATTCATTCGCATTAAATTTTCAAGAAACAAGTACTCCTTCATGTCAGCCATTATGCCTAAACAAAAGAGAGAAATAACATCCAAAACTTAATGATCTAAACAGGTGAACTTACAATATGAGAGCAAAAAATCAAGAATTAGTCTAATGCTAAAACTACACCAAATACCTTGGTATAATGTTGTTAAAATGGTTAATGATTAGGGACATGGTTGATTTTCCAACGACAACAAGAAGTTGCAAGTTGAATATATGGAAGCAGCAGCAGCCCCAACAGCTAAGCCCCTTTCTGAGTTATCAGCTTCCCCTAATCTGCAGCAAAATATACGACAAACTAGTTTTAAGAACTCAATAATAAATGCTATGCAGAATGTATCATTCATTTCCACAAAAATAAAATAAAATGCAGTCAGACATGTAGGAAGACTGCTTGCATATAAATGTAAACTAAACCACCATGTTAATGTTTACTAAACTACTGTTATCAAAGCTTTGAAATAATATGGTGCTCGAGTATAATGTAAATGTCGAAGTACAAATTGAACTCTAATATAGCACAGAGAGATTATATGGATCAAAGTTTTGAAATAATATGGTGCTTGAATATAATGTAAATGTCAAAGTACAAATTGAACTCTAATATAGTACCGAGAGATAATTAACGGTTTGGAATAACACAAGTTATGGAGCTGAAGTATTTCATGAATCCAAGACTAATAAACGCAGGGAACTTTACAAGTCACACATTCTTTCATGGAAGTTTCCAATGCTATTCTCTATACAAACCTCGTAACACTTCACTACCACGTATACACAATTATGCAGCATTCTTAGGATGCAACTAAGGAAAACAACAGTTTCTTATTTTAGTACTCGTATAACTTCGCTTTAACAGCAAGCACAAGTAATACTCTTTTGGGCACGTTGTCATTATAATTTTTCTCTTTCAAATGTTTCTCCCATCACAATAGTAGCAGCATCTATTCTTCTTGTTATTTAACTTTGATAATTTGACTTGGGCTGTCTACCCACGTGATGTATATTTTTTGTTCTTAAAACTTTATAAATTTACTCGAAAACGAGGCCAAACGGATCATCAAAAAGACCATCCATATGATTTGGCTGACGAACCATACAAACAGAGATGAAAGTTGCTAGATAAAATAAATTTACTTGATCATTTTATTAGATTAAGATCAAGTACTTTAGCAATGAATTCAAACAATTTAAGCTAGCATAATTTAATTATGCTGAAATATATAACTTACAAATATAATCCACACTCATTCTTGAGTAAAACTTTGTCAAATTAAAAAGATATGAAGAATTTATTTGCACAAGAAATTGATTACAAAAGAGGGCATTTGGAATTTAAAACTGGAAATTGAAAGCTCAAGAAATTTCTCTTTACAAACTATTACAAGAATGAATTTATATACAAACAAAGAATTGTTCCGACTTCAAAATTTTATTTTGAATTCCCAAAAAGTAGGAAAATACGATAAGATTCTTATCATCCTTGGTACCTCCATTTTCAAAGGTGTCGGGATATAATTGTCGTTGAATTTCTGCTTTTCAAAGCTTTTTTTTTTTTTTTTTTTTTGGGTGCAGGAATTATTATCTTTGTTATGTCTTTTGCAAAAATTATTGTCTTCTTCTTGAATTTTCATTTTCCTCATTTCTTTTGAAGTAAATTCCCGTAATTCTTCTTGCGTAAACTCGTCATTTTCGCTATCATGGTAAAGATTTTGAATCCCCTTGACTGTTTCCATATTTTCATTGTTATAGAAGTCAATATGAAATTTTATTTCTTGAGGATATTGACATTCCCTTCTCTTCTGAAGAGAAGACAACATTAATCTTCTTAGATATCATTTTAAAAAGTGATTTTTTTCAAATTTTCTGGGGTTTCATCCTTTATACTTGATTCAACTATTTTAATGACATTCTCAAAGGCCAAATCAACATTTTCTTTGATCTCACTTTCAACAAGTTGTTGGTACATTTTGATATCATCCAGTATGTTTTTAACTACTGGTTCATGTTCATACTTGTTTCACCAAGAGGCAGAAATCTTTTATAAGAATTGAGGGGTTTCACCCGACATGAAGCAGAATTCCCATTTCCAAATCCAAGTAATAAAATATTCTGCAAACATGATTAACAGAATTTTATTTTGATTAAGATTTTTATCCTTTATCAAAGGATGACAACTTGAGAAAGTTGATATAAGAGTTTTCAACTCTTCAGGAAAAATATCCATGGCTGGGCATGATCTTTTTCATCAAACTAGAAACCAAGTGGGAGGTTCTTTTTTAACGACTCCTTGATCAACTCTGATCATCCATGTATGTTTCATTTCAAGGTTTTGAACCTCAAGTAATTTATAAAACAAAATTATATAATCCCAATAAGTAAATTCAATGGGTGTCTCTTCTTTCATGGGGTACCCTTTCTATCAACAGTTTTAATCTGTATATTTACAGATTTAATTTTATTGAGATTTAATCCCCATTCAATTCTTTCATGAGGTCACCTTTTATAAGTTGATGAATACAATTAGCCTCTATTTGACTCCCTTTAAAACAAAACAATTTCTTTCTCCTGAAAGAAGAATTATGTGAATTTACCTCAAAAAGAAAGAGGAAAAAAAAGATTGAAGAAGGAGAATAATTCCTATAGAAGACATAGCAAGGAAAATAATTCCTGCACCAAAAGGAAAATGCTTTGAAAGAGCATAAATTCAAGGACAACTATATGTCCATATCCTAACACTTCTGAAAAAGGAGGAACCAGGGACGATAAGAATCTTATCATATTTTCCTACTTTTTTGGGATCCAAATTAATTCTAAACAATTCTTTGTTTGTATATAAATTCATTCTTGTAATAGTTTGTAGGCAGAAATTTCTTGAGCTTTCAACTTTCAATTTTAAATTCCGAGTGCCCTCTATTGTAATCAATCCCTTGTACAAATAAATTCTTCAAATATATAGAAGCCCTTTTAATCTGGCAAAGCTTTTGAATTGAAGAACAAGCGTGGATTATACTTGTAAGGTTTAAATTTCAGCATAATTAAATTATGCTAACTTAAATTGTTAGAATTCCACTAAAGTACTTAGTCTTAATCTAATAAAATGATGCATTTCTTGTTCTTAAACTTCAGTAAATTTACTTGGACAAGTTTGTTTTTGTCTGGTCCATTTATGACGGCATACTGCAATTTTTTCAACTTCCTTGATTTGTTAATACAAATTAAATATCGGGTAAAAGGTAATTTCCCGAAGCATAAAATGTGAAGTATTACCAGGCCCTGTATAGAGAGAAATGTTTATAAACTTCTGATAAATCCAATTTTGTAAAGATTGACTCATATGGTCTGCTATGTCCCTAAGCAAGTTACAAGATTGCATAATTTCTAGTTTCTACTAAGCAAGAAAGAGAGAACATGACAGTTCATTTAAGTTATAATTATTCGTGCTTCTAATATGCCTAGAGTTTAAGAGTTGCAAATGTATTCAGTAATTACGATTTAAAGTATCTATGGACTCCTAGAAATGATCTAAAACGCCTAGCATAAACAAAGGTACACGAGTTAATGACTCTACCTAGCGAGGCATATAACTTCTTGCAAATAAAAGTGTGATTAAATTTACCTGCAGTCATTTCCTATAGAACCAGTCTGCTGCAAAGTACGGGGCAGCCCACTACGTTTGTAAAGACCCCTTTCACAATGCAACTGCATTTCCTTTACTTGTTTCAGCCAACTTTCCTGATAATTTTTAAAAAATAGACTATGTTCAATTGTGCTTGCTCTGGATGTGGTAAAATTGGTTGGGGGAGGGGGGTGCAAACACCATAACAAGACAAATATAAAGCAAAAGATATTTGCATTATTCCTTTATAAAGAGAGAAGATACTTAATTCGTGTTAATGTAAATGCACAGTAATTTTAAATCCCTTCAGTTCTTTGAAACATACCCAGATATCATAATTCGAAGATGATCAAATGATGATTCAATTATAGTGCAAATAGTAGTTTTTGCATAAACACCAGCAATGGTACCAGCAGTGTTAATGGGTCAAAATGTATTAATCATCACATTCAAATTTATACAGCATAAACAAATTCTCAACACCTATGGACAAAAGAAATTATACAAGTTAGCAGAGACAATATTCGATATTACTATCAATGCTTCTATTCCGAGTTGCAAAGAAAAAAGAAAAGAAAAGAAAAAGGAGCCAAAAAAGACAAAATGAATGTGATCTGTCTGAACCTTAACAAACTGAATTCTCAGTAAAACTGTTCTGTGACAGGGCTAGGAGCCAGATAACAATGCATATAGAATAGGACCAAAGACAGATCACCAGCCATCAATTCATCCACTGGATTGTGCTTAAATATTTCAAGTAAAAAAAAAAAAGTAGCAGCTCACCAGAAGATTCTCTTCTTCACAAAGTGTTTTATCCATCTGACCAAACAGTGTGCTCCATCTAACAAAGTGCGCATCAGCAGTTGCTTTGTCAGGATGCCAAACAATAGAATTTTTTGTTATGTGCATATCAGTCTTGTGGTTAGATGTGAATTCTCTTGACACTAGGAGAGGTAATTCTGTGTAAACTACAGCACGGACTCTCTTCTTACTACGTCGTAGAGCTGCCATAAAAGAACAGAGCGCATTAGGATTCTATCTATAAGCCCATAAGCCTAAGGTGCTTCCTCTCGTTTGAGGTATCAACCTACCTGCAAGACGCCCTTTGATATCTTGACTAAGAAGTTCCAACCATTGGGAAGCTGTGTTAGCAGCTGTAATCAAACAGAAGTCCAAATCAGTTCGCTGTTTATCTCCTTTTACATGTAAAGCATTTATCACTAAGATGTCACAGGGAATAAAAATATGACAGAAGCTTGTGTTAATATTGCTTGAACTTCAACGATATAGCCATTGTCTATAAATCCCATGTCTTCAAATCCTCCTCATAGAATTTTTTGATCGTAAAAATATGAAAAAAGGAAACGAAAATGAAAATCTTATCCTGCAATTTGCATGTTTTTCAAACCTTGATCCACATGTACCATTTATCAAAATCAAACTGTTGAAACAAGCGAAGATGTACATGTGAGAGACTACAAACCTTTAACAGAAAGTGAAGTAACACTAGAAAAGTTTGCTGACTCCTCATTTGACAAAGAGCAAGTATTCTCTGATGCGGTGGTTAGTGATGATGAAAGCTTTAGTGCAAGTCCATTATCATTTTCTTGGTTGTACTGTGAAGGCACCTGACCAGAGATCCTTGTCTCTGCTTTGTATGACTTTCCATCTCCTCTGGAAAGATAGGAGTTCAAAGAAACTGATTTGCTCAATGATGGATCGCCGCTCATCTGACATCTTCCCAAAAAATTATCTTCATGATTAAGTTCATAACTATTCACTCCTGCACTGTTCATGTGTTCCAGGTTCTTTCTTTCACTAGATTCTTTTGTGCCACCCTTTCTTTGGTTAGCCTGCTTGCTTCCAGCATGCTGATCATCAGTTTTTGCAGACTTCACCATGGCTTCTATAATAGAGTGAACCTGTTTACTGTTTCTCACATGGTTTATAATTCCAGGGTTTAATCCATTAAGCAACCCACTTGGAGCTGCAATTCTTGCAAACTTATCAGCCTGTTCTTTCCTTGCAAGCTCTATCTTTCTCTTAATAATTTCACTTTTACTCTTCCTCTCACGTGGTTTTGGAATTGGCACTGCTGCATAAGAAGTAGAAAGATAATTGTTTTGTTTCATCTTGTTCCAAACTCTCATTGGATCTTCTTCCTCCAACGGACCAACAGAACTTGCACAATCAGAATGGTCCCTTGATTTTAAATTTTCGTAGTTTTTATAAGGATAGAAAAGGTCATGGTTGATTGAGCTAGAAATATCTTCAGCATTTAGGTCTATACCCAGTCCTCTGGATTTCTGTTCATTCCCAGGTGAGGGCAATTTGTTTGGTTCCTTGATATACCCAGGAGTACTGCCACCAACCACATTGCTAGCAGCATCTACATTGGCATTTGGATCAAGTGCTCTTGGTGCAGAGTTAACCACTTTCTGTGCCGTATTGCTTCCTCCTCTTCCTGCTTCAGCTACATCATAACTCATTTTCTCAGTTTCTCTTAAAAGGATATCTCAACTGTCATCTATCTAGATTAGGACTTTCGTTCTTTTTCAATAATACTATATCTCGACACAAATAAAACAAATTATCTCCCACGAATAAAACAAACAAACTTCTCCTAGGTATCAAATTCACAGACTCAGTAACAACTCACGAAGAAAAAGAATGCTTGAAGATTCTACAAATTTATCTTTATACAAGGCAAATATATAATCAAATCATTGGCTCCTTGTGTTCACTGTCTAGCAATTCAATTATATCAAGAAGAGAGCCGGTGTATGGGAATCATTACTGAAAACCAAGGCACTATAAAAACACCCAATTTAGGAATATAAAAGCCGAAAAATTTAAACTTTTACTCTAGTTCAATTATATTAATCAACACATATAGCCTACAATACCCAAATGAGACGAAGAATTCTCAGAAGAAGAAGGAACCTAAAGAGAAAGATATACCTCCCGCCCATGAAATTGATTCAAGACCCCGCATTTTCACTCTCTTGGTAGAAAGTACCGATCTCTCCAACTTCTGTTAAACCCCTTTCTGCCCTAACACAGCATAAAAAACAAATCCAATACTCCACAATTTAACTGAGAAACATAAAGTTACCAAAACAACGCACCTTTAAATATTTACTATTTCTAACAACGCACCTTTGAATCAGATCTATGACACACTATTCATCTACTCTCAAAGAGTGAACAAATGGCAAATTCAATCGTCAGGATTCTCAGTGCAGACCCTTTAAGGAAAACCCACAAATTCAAATCTAAAACGACAACTTCAATCCTTTAATGAAGCAAAGATAGAAATACAAAATGTTCGTCAAGAAATACAAAATTCAAGATTCTTTATGGCGCGGCTAGACATATTTGAAAACGTATAACGGCCGCTGAGGAGCCTTTTTTTCTTTTTACATTTTTTGGGTAAATCTATGAACAATAATTATTTAGGGTAATGGTACTTAGCCCGATGGGTTACAACCTAATCCAGATAGTGGTAGATAATAGGTTAAATAAAATATTAAATTAAATGAGTTATTTAATTTTACCTATCAATTAATGTGACGTTAGTACTACTCAAATTGGGGTTACAACCCAACGAGCATTACTCAATTATTTATTACGGGACGTGCAATAATTATTTATGAATAATTATATTCACATCACAATCTTTATTTTTTGCACTATTATAGTACTTAATTCTCTAATAATTTTCATGTCATTCTTATCTTCAAAATTTTCTAAATTAACACATTTTATATTTGATAATATTTTTATGTCCAAAAGTCCATTAAAATGATGTAAAATAACTTATTTTTCATTATATTTTTAAAAAATAAGTAAATAAAAAGTACGAAAACATTTTATTCCCTCATTTCAAAACTTGAACACAAATTATTACAATATAAATTATCATTAAAAACGAGATGTACTAATTAATGGAAAACTGAATATAAGAATTCGACGAGAAAAAGTTAAGAAAATAATTGTTATAATAAACAAAGTTTAAGAAGTTTAATTGGAATTAAAATTTGGCGTAACAAATTAAAATTGGGGGTGCCAATATAATATATATCTGCAGTTTGATGGGCTCTTCTAAAATTTCAAGATTTTACTTTTTGTTAAGCAAGTGAAGAATTTTGAGTTAAAAACTCACTTGGATAGTGAACTTGTGTGATTCTTCTATTTTTAGTCGAGTTAATTAAATGACTGCTTACTAAACTTTATTCATAATTACTATTTGCTCATTTCAAATTTAAAAGATTACTCGACACCCACTGAACTATTTATTAATTTATCCATACATCACTAGAGTCCATTCTATCTGCACAATTGGACAAATATTTACATGAGGCGGATGAAAAATGATGTGGCAAAGAGAATGTGTGAATAATATCCACATCATTTAAAAATTTATTTTTTAACTAAATGACCAAAAAAACGTGTTAAATCAAAAACATTTCTTCAATGATCAAAATCCAATTTATAAGAATTGAGGCAACCAAGAGCACACTCCGCTGTCAACACTTCCAACAAACCACCATGGCTTCTTGACAGCAATGCTTCCCACCATTTATTATATAACCTTCAACTTGAGCAACTTATCTCTTCACTCTCTTTACACAAGTTTCAATGAAATTAGATCGGAGATGACACCACTTTTCCCATTATTCATACTAGTTTCACCTTTCAAGACTCGTACTTCTCAATTTTCATTAGACAATATTTTGTGTGTACCTAGCATGAAAAAAAAAATTGATATTTGTCTCACAATTTTGTGCTTTAAAAAATGTATCGATTGAATTCCTACCTTCTTTTTTGGTGAAGGATCTTCGTTTTGGAACAACACTTTTGAATGGTCCAACTAATGATGGGGTGTATGAGTGTCCACTAAATTCTTCATTATTTACTTTCTCTAGTGTTAAGACTACTTCGTCCTAATGGCATCATAGATTGGGACATCCTACTTTTCCTATCTTGAAGCATATGGTTTCTATATATCATCTAGTTTTATCTTCTTCTGTTTCTTCTAGTTTTTCATGTAGTGCTTGACTGCTTGTCACTACAATAAGAGTTATAAACTTCCTTTCTCTAATTCAACACTTGTCTCAAATCAACCTCTTCAAATAATATTTTATGATGTTTAGACTTTACCAATTACATCTCGTGATGGATATAAATATTATGTAATTTTTGCTGATAACTTTAACAAATACATTTAGCTTTATCCTCTCAAACAAAAACTCCGAAGTTAAAGAAGCGTTCATTAGATTAAAAGTCATTGTTGAAAAAATATTTTAATCTCATAAACTTGAGTCTCAGGCTAGACCATGAGTATTTATTGGATACTCTCCGACTCAAAGTGCTTATTATTTCTATGATCCTTCAACATGAAAAACATTATGTTTCTAGACATGTTAAAATCATTGAGTATATTTTTCCTTTAACTCCTTGACAACTTCATCTTCACGTCCTGAGTCCTCTACCGTCTCTACTTAGGTTCCAAAATGCTTATAATGTATGCAACCACATACAATTCAACACCACTCATACAGTCATCTGCTTGGATACTCGAAGGCAGTCTGATTACAATAGAAATTGTCACACCTCACCTTACACCATCTATCCCTCCTCCTAACTAACTAATTACACAAGCTATTCCTAAATCAGCCCGTAACACTACCCAACCTACTCATCCAATGACCACCAGGCAAAAGACAACATTCATGAACTTATCAAGAAACTTAACCTCTACACCAATTATGCAAATTCATTGATATAACCTACAATTGGGACCAAACTATCAAAGATCCAATGTGGCTTCAAGCTATGTCAGAAGAATATGATGCTCTTGTTTGGAATAGTACACGGTAATTAGTACCTTCTGATCTTAATCATAATGTCGTTCATTGTAAATGGATTTTTGGAATCAAACATAAATCTAATGGCTTCATTAATATGTTTAAGGCTCACTTGATTGTAACATGTTTTCATCAACGACTGGGAGTAGATTATCATAATACTTTTAGCTCTATTGTTAAACCCACAACAATTCACCTTGTGCTAAGCCTAGTTAATAAGTTGAGGTTGATCAAGATCATTCATCCCATGTCTACAAACTCACAAAAGCCATTTATGGTCTCAAACAGGTTCCTCAAGTGCGGTATCAAGAAATTCAAAAAAATTTCTTCACTATAGTTTTAAGAACTCTCATGCCTATAATTCATTATTTGTTCTTTACTTGAATGGGCATCTAATTTGCCTACTTTTTTATGTTGATGATATGGTTATAACAAATCGATTTGTTAATTTTTTAGCTCATCATTTCTCTGTTAAAGATCTTGGTTTGCTCTCCTATTTTCTTGGCATGGAAGTTGTCAACAACAAACATGGCATTCTACTTTCTCAGGGATAGTACACATGGACCTTCTTGCTCGGCCTCATATGACAAATGCTAAAACAGTGACAACTCCTCTTGCAACACCCCAACCCCATATGGATTGAAACGTCACTAGAATAATTGTACCTTATCTGTCGACTTAGTTATTAACTATACTTTTAGAGGAAAACATAAAGATTTAATTTAAGAATTTACTTAAAAATTACTTTTTTTCCCCTTTTAAACAATATATTTGTCTCCATCCATATTACATATTTTATTATATGGACCATGGGATGCATATGTTTCCCTATTAAATAAAAGTTTTTTGAATTTTTTTTTCATGTATGCACATCATTAAAGAGTGAATAAAACTAAGTTGTTTTATTTTTTTTTATATTTCGCATAGCAAGTGGCAAAATAAATTCATTTACATAGTTATCAATTTCAAAACTTCACAAAATTTTAAGCGAAAGTAAGAAACTTCTTATAATATGACATATTAAAACATCGGCTTCTTTCGATAACATATAAGGCACTAAAATATGTTTTAAAATCCCGCAGCAACTCAGTTTGGAGGATAAACCAATGCAATTAACTTAAAATAACATACAAAATTCTGCAGGCATTAGATTGACAAGATTTCAAGTTTATTCAATAGCTAACCCATTAGGCTATCAAACTCTGCTGGTTTTATCTACAAATCTCAAGTAATTATTGAGTTAAGAATTTTCGAAATAAAGGATAAAAGCTGAAATTTTAAAAACAGCAATACTAAATCTTATCATTCACATTTTTGTGATGAATGGTAACTTATACATTAATTTCTATAAAATATGTCTACTTTTGAATATAACTAATTCATAAAAATCTTCTTAAAATAATGTCACAAATGATGTTTTATAGAAATCTATTTATTTAAAGAAAAACACGTAATTGAATAAAAATATTAAGTCACCAGCTTTTCCATAGCATATTGTATCTTTATCTACCATCATCTACGACACAAGCAAATCAAATCAACCTATATAGAGGAAATTAACCCATGAGTTTGAAACTCAATAAATATCATCAGTGCATTTTGTTATCAAATTAGAAAATTCAAACTATATATTCATATCGTCACACGTAGATAGATTTTTTGTAAAATCCAATTTTTATAGAATTATCATAACACTTAGAGTTAGAGAATGATCATTCAAATTATAGTAATGCCGAATCATTGTACCAGGATGTACCAAGTTATTTATACTTTTGGAGAAAAATCATAAATTTAAAAACAAAATGACAACTTGCGTTTTTACCTACCTTGATTTTTCCTGAAATATAAAGGAATAAAATGTGTAAATTCTTTCTTCTTCAGACTCTTGCTATCCCTTTAACTTAACTTAATATAAAAGGTATTTCTGAGAGAAAATATTAGTAAATTTGAATTTGAGGAGAAGTGTAATAAAAAATTGACTTTTCTCCTCTTGTAACTTCCCTTTTTAGTGAAAACCCAAATGGGAGAGTTATATGATCATTAACATTGTTAAATTGAGTCTTTAACTAGGAATTTAAGAGAAATAAGCCATAAAATAATTTTTATAAAAAGTTCTATAAAACATTTACATAATGAAAAATAGAGAAAAATAAACTATTCATATAATTTGTTACATATCTCTATGAATACCAACTAATATAACAATTATTTCATTAAATTAACTTAATATAATTGTTTTTAATATGTAAAATGAGGAGTTTTTAATTCAAAATAATTTTATAGCATAGTGGTTTGAATCTAAGTTGCCTATGCAAAATATCATGCAAATGACCATTGTGACAACCCAGTTATTCATTAAATTTTTGAAATCAAATTTACTTAAACTTAATCTCTTAAATTGTTGGACTTTTAAATAACTTATGATTTGGGCTTTCATTACTTTAATTGGGTGAGCTTCCATAGCTCGTTTCTTAAATGGGCTACATCAAGCAACTTATAAATATAAAATTCAGGACCTTATACCTCTCCCATCAAGGTAATACTAGGAAGTCTTCATATCTCATCCTTGCTCGCTTTGATATTGTCTTTGTTGT